ACCATTATGCTGTATTCGGACTCTGGGATATTAAAACTGACAATCAGATTTTTATAGGCGTGCGTTTTGTATGTAATGAGAAACTTCTAGAATAATGTCCATTTCAACGCGCTTTAATTGAAATATGCGTATACCGCACATTGTTTTACATACAACACATCGTTATGTCGTTTTATAAACCAAGCGATAAGGATAATTTTTTTATTGATAGTTACGGACAAGACTCAAACTTTAGTCAGAGACAGTGACTCAATAAATCCGCAAGCGCAACACGACGGTAGTCATGTGCAACGACATCTTCATTGCATTTAAATTACACTGTTGTTAGTGCCAGATTGAAATACTGATTATTTCGTAAAGTCTCTTTACGAAAACCACGCTTATAAACAACACTAACAATAATATTATGGTAATCTTGATAATAATAGCGTGGAGATCAACGACCGCCCTAGTTCTATTCTAGGTAGCGTCTACAAGCTACAATGTAGTTCGAAGAAAAGCGATTATTGTGGAACGGAAAATGCGTAAACTGTAGGTGACAGCGATCACGTATTCTTCTGCCTGTCTGCGTGTGCAGTGCCTAATGACTCACTAACGAGAAAAACAACTGAAGGTCATACAGCTTTATCAATTAGGATTCAATTCAATTATTGTGCTACTAATGCAGTAACGCTAACGTGTACATGTATCACCGTGAAAATAGTGTGTTTGTAACGCTTGTTTATTTTTTTTATATTATATTAATAATATTGACTCAATTGCTATCAAGTGCTATAATAGAAACGGTAGATATCCGTGCGTGTTTTACCCCTCATGGCTTAGACATCGGCCTCGCAATGGGAGAAGGTCTTAACTTCAGAAAAAAGTTTTCGACTAAACTATTATTACACCATGATTTCACTTAAAATGTTATTACTCATTAATATATGTTATATGTATTTCACTGTAATCAAGTAATCTATTAAATTTTATTACGTTTTTCATAATTGCAACGACGATTCAAATAATAGTATTAAGTTATTGATCCTTTTCAAGTATATGTAAATAAAGTCATTTGAATTGTGTAGATTAGGTACACTGAATTCGGCATCCTAGAATGTACATTCTAGGATTCAATTCATTGTACAATCAATATTACGAGTTTTAAAGCGCTAATTCTCTGAACTACACAATGGAGTGATTGTGATTTGAATTTAAAAGACCTAATCTATTATGGACTACGCGACCCCACGGCACCGATCTGAGGGAGAAATACAAACGCGCCAAAATAACATTTTCTGATTTTATGGTGTACAGAAAGTTTAACGTCTAGCTTTGAATGCGATGTTATTTTGCTGAAAACTTTTTATGACAAAAGATAGAGAGCCGTGGAGTTGTCTTGATTAAATGCGAAATGGCCTAGAACACTACACAGACTGTAATTGAAGTAAACTCTTTACAGCTTTTTCCACTTGTAAAGAGATGTCTAAATTAAGAACACGAAGACTCAACAAATGTTAAAAATGTTAGACCTGTGGATTTTTACCATCCTGATGCTGCCATCGGACCAACGAGGCACTAGGTTCCAACCTCTTACCTAAACAAATCGTAAAAGGCACCGCAAAAACATTTTCAGATAGCAAGATCGAATTTAATACAGTGTTAGTTGTAAAAACCTGTCCCGATCTCTTATCCGTGTAAGGCGTAAATGTTCTCCAATTGGATACTTGCGTTATCTTTGCAAAAACTTGATCGGAGATATGCGAAACGAAACCAGTAATCTTTGGTAAAGTTACGTTTACCATTTATAGAGGGGCTACCGAGTGGCGAAATTTGAGCATAGCACAATTATACGTGAGATGTACAAATACTAATAATGTTGAGTATTTCTCACATCTGAGTGAAGTTACGTCGGGGGGTCTTATGAAACGTACTGAACTAGTATGTGATCTCGCTACCGACGCATGCCAACTTTTTCTACTCGAAGAAAGTTGCAACACGAGACCTAACAGACTTCTAGCCCTATTGTATCTATTAGCGGACTACTTTCTTATTTCTTTCCATTTACGGTCGGTTGAGAAATCAAGATGCATTCGTAATCGCTCTGAAAGAAAGCACATGACAGCATAATCACTTGGCAACACGAGATAATCTTCCGTGATTTATAATACGTATTTCGATCATTCATTTATTGTAGAAAGAAACGTTGATGCAATTACGAGTGAATATTACGTTTTTATCGGAGTTAAAAACATCGCTGAATCTCGAAAGCGCTCGCCTAAAAACTAAATCGATTCGCAATCATTCAATTGCAGCATAACAAGCGGAGGCCCGAGGCTCGCCGAAACGATAAAGCTATTATCTCATTGTGTTTGCCAGGCAAGACGATTGAAAAGAAAAAACACAGCTAATCCACATGGGAAGCCTTGAGCCCAGTATCGGGTGGCCGCGCGCGCGCTGTCCGGATTTAGTTACATGCACGACCGCGTGTCTGCCGCATCTTTGAGCTGATGGAATTATGACGATTGTTATGAATTTTTATTTCAATGCCAAGTAACGTGTTCTGAATTTGAAATTTACGTTGATATTACATTTCCGGCAACATTCTATCCAGAAATGAAGCTAGAACAAGAAATAATTTAATAAAAAACCAAAACAACTATTTATGCTTGCGTTTCCTTTTTTTTTATTTTAATTTTATATTAAATTTATATATTAGTATAGATTTGTACATGTGTAAAATTATTAATTTCAAATTGTTAATATTTTGACACACGAGTATAATTATTAGTGTATGTTCAATGCGTGTTTCATTAATGGCTCCACGACAGCGAAGCAGAACATTAATAAAAGCGTCTACCTAAACTTTAGCCTCCATCTTTTGAACGTCGCAAATAAATCCTCCGAGACACTTTATGAAGTCGTTGAGCTCGTTAGTCTGATGTTTGATCGCGACGTTATATTATCTAGTACTTATGTACATGCGACTGATGCGAAAATCGTTCACACCAAGACTTCATAAGTATACCTGGGTAGTTACGAGTGCGGCTAACCGGTCTGGATAATCAATACAGTCGTAGACATCGGGGCTCCATAAATAGAAGAAGTGGTGGCTTTTAATGATACGACTCCACGAATCGTGCCTGCACTGTCGTTATCAATCACACAGCCACAAGAATCTGTTTACGACGACTTTATCAGCAAATCATTGAAATGGTCTTTGGGGCTATGTAGTTGCAAAATTAATCCAATCCAATTGACGAGGTTTTATTTTACGTGGTTTAGCTTAATGAAAATCCGGGTTTATAGCTTTCGGTATAAAAATCCCACAGAAGCATTAGACTAATATATGGGAATGCAGAGTTATGAAGTTTCCCCTGGTGGCAAACAAACGAGGCAATGTCACGCGACATGGAGCGGAACAAGTCGGTTAAGAGACAGTACTGGTCGCATTAACTCGACAGAACCGAGAGAATGTTTAAAGTGGTGTGGTACATTAGATAGCTGTAATGTCGCGATTATAATTTCCATTTAATGCTGCCAAGTACCTGACCATGTATTAAAATGGTCAATAATCTAGATAAACTTGTAACTACGCTTTCCTTACAAGTTGTTGAAATGCTTTTTTAGAATGCAAATATCTCGACAAGGTTGCGTTGATTCGAGACTGATTACGATCGGTTTTATGTTCTACACGATGCGTCAGTTTTATAGTCTAATTTAGATTCGGTCATAACCGCACAAGAGATAATGAATCTAAATTGAAGCAACCTGACACTAAGTCGTGATATTGATTATTGTGGAATTTCAAGTTTCGCAATTGTCGCTGTTGAAATATCTACTATAGTAACGTCTTACGCAGTCCGAAATAGAAGCTGAAATTATTCAATCGTGACTGTAAAAATAAGTACCCTGCAACGAGCTCTGGGCAGTAATAAATATCAAACAACGCGAGTAAAAATAGAAGCAGGCACGGCGGGCGGGCGAATGACCGTCAGTTGACATACAACGAGCTCAAGGCCTGAGGAGATTAGATACCAACTGCCGACGGTGCATAACAAACAACCGATGTACTTAGAATTGCAAAATTATTCCAGCGCCACTCTAATGCAACAAAAACAACGCGATGTATCAAATGCCTTTATAAAGAATCTAGTCGTCGATTGGCAAGCTTCACTTTTGGATATAAACAGAGAGACTTGAATAAATCGTTATTCCCTTTACCAAAATGGAATAAACATTTGAATACTCCAGCTAGTACGTATTTGATAAAACATGCAGTGGAACAATTAAATTACGTTGGTACTGCGTTTATTTGGCAGAAACCGTAGCTTTTGGCGTCCACACGGCCGCCTCCCGTGACGGCGTTTTATCGCGAAAAGTGTCAGACCAGTGTTTTTACTGCGCTCCCCGACAAAGGCAAACTTTCACCTCCGCAAACCTTTTCAGTAATAAAAATATTTTACTGTCGCATACCGCTTGTGTGTACCGAAGTTTTCAGATTAGATCGTGAAATTTATTTCCAAGCAAACAAGTAGATAACTTTTATTACCGGGAGATATTCCTATAAATTCACTTAATTATTACACGACACGTCGAGATTACATCGCTTAATGCATAGTCGTATATCAAAACAAACACGTTAAATACCTTCAACATAAGGACGAAATAAAGCAACAAATGTCAGTTCGTCAAAACATAACATTGATCGTGACGTAAATACAAATCTTGATGTTAACAAAATATACATTCCGCAAAAACCTGCATCGTATTCAAATTAAATTGACAAGAATAACATGCATATTTGTTTACCCAATAGTTGGAATATATTAATATTTAATTCAAAAATGTGGAATGAATAAGACTTAATACCGACTTAACATTTAAGTTCATATATAAACTTGCTGTTATATTGACATCTCTTAAAACAATAATCGTGATGGCCGAATAAGGATTTGCCCAAATATGGGAGCCTTAAGCGTCTCAGAATAATTAAATTCGTTTAACCTAAATGTCCTTACCTTTATCTGATATGAGTTGACTTTATGCTTCGGCAAAAGGTTGAAAGTAGAAAAGTCCAGTCTTCTAGAAAATATACCGTTTGCCCCAGCACCGGCTCTGTAAAGAGGGAAAGAATATTTGTAATTACTTTGCACAACACACTTGCATTAACATAGGACAGTGTTGAGCTCTCGACAGGGTTTTACAATGATGGTATAGAATTGCAAATGTATGGTTAATTTTATCAACCAAATCTACTTAAGTATCATTCCAGATGTCTCAATCTGATACGTAGAGCTTACAAAGTCACTTACCAATAAATAAAGTAACGATCTAGTAACAATAAAACAGAATTCAAATAAATCCGTTTTGATACAATTTGAAAACTACATTGTTTGTTTCAGAATCTCTTTTATAGCGAAGTGATCAATTACAGTGACATTGTAATATTACTTCGTCCATTAAAGCATGAAATTGATGGTATCTAAACGAAAAATGAATTTTGTTCTGGTTGAAAAGCTGTAAGAAATACAATGGCATCGGGCACGAGACGCATCAGCGCATGCGACGCAAACAAAAAGCGAAATACAATTCCAAGGTTGTGCGAAAAAACTTGTTTTTTCATTGCCAAGGCCAACCGAATTAGATACCAGTCTCGTATCTTGCGGGCGTGTCAACAATTCAACATAGCTCTGTTTACATTCGCGTACAGATAAAATACCTCGATGACTACATTTTTATTTTTACTTTGTGTTTATAGAATCTAACGTGTTTTAATTGACATTTTATCGAAACTACATACGCCTAATGGGTGTTATTTTATAACGCATAAAAATATTATATTATGTAAGATAACTTTTAATATAATATACGTGTAGAAGGGAAGTTGCCACTTTGTATTTTGTTTTAATATACAAAAATCGTGATACGCTTAACCTTGTTTTTAACAATGCCACATTTGAACAAAACACCGACAAAAAGTTTGCCCTAATTACACAAATACACGCGGCGTGTCATTAAAAAACTCAAGATAAGCAAAGTCATAATTTCATCAGTAATAAACAAATACAAAAAAGCGGCTCGGCAACAATCTCAAGGACACAAATACGGAAAGTTCAGATGCACCAAAGCTGTATGCATAATCAAATGCAAATAATAAAACTGTTTGTTTATGAGACAAACTTATTTAACCGATACAGTGGGCACAAAATGGCGGTGCTAACCTTGAGCCTGGTTAAAAATAACTACAATAATATAGTCGATGTTTGTGCGATGCTTTATCGAATTCAAAGAGCCTGGCATTTTAAGTGCATGTGTGGCGCATACGTTTCGATTTAAAACGATGTTTCACATTGTTTTATTTATGTATATGTTCTGTCACTAGGCAGTACATAATTAATTTATTAGTCATCCAACGGCGTATACTTTTTGTTAAAAAACATTACAACTCCTTACTACTTTTAGGTACCTTAACTTAAGTGTTATAATTAGAATTGGTTTATTACTCTACACTTATGTATATATTTAATATAAGATTAATAAAGCATATTTTTCCGCTCAGATTTTATTATCTTAATTGACCATACAACTTAATAAACAAAATCACATCATAAATCTGTATTACTTTAACAATAATTTCACGTCACATTTTTTTTATCATTGTTGTATGGATTCTACTTAGTGATCAATTGAATAATTTATCAGTAAATGTAAAAAAATACATTTTTGATAGAGCTACTAGCTTTGTTACTAAATGTATTTTTACACCGATGTGAATGAAACTGATTTACTGTAACAGAACAGAAGCAGTTTGTTGAGTTTTGTATAGAGATAAGCCGAGTCTCTATTGTGATTTGAAAGTAGACACCAAGTGGGAGCTTAGGAACCGGTCCTTACTTTCTCATTTAGCCCACGGCCACGATCAACGCTCTGAGCTTGAAGCTAGCTATTCTAAAAATAGCTACCTTTATAATTTCGAAAACAACTTCGCAACAAATCCGGAAATTGTAATTGATCTGAGGGATTTTCGCTAAAATCGATACAATTCTTGGGTTCTTATTGTATAGCCTTCTATACTTGAGAGAGTAAAGATAAATATAGTTATCACTAACTGAATAGGAAATAGAAGATAAATGAGACCATGGATTTTGAAAAAATCCCTTATTGGATATAACGTCTTCTGGTTTTTGTGGTAGTTTTCTATCTTAAGTCTGCTATTGCAAACCAAATGTTGACGTAATAAATTTTTTTTTTAAATAAATTAATTTTGTTTTCATGAAAAGATACATTACTGTAGAATTCTTCTTCGTCGCTATTTCATCTGTCGTAATTCGTCTTATATGTAGCGGCTGTAGTAGGTACATAACAGATGTGCATAGAAAGGTCAAAACTTTGGCTGCGAAACTTAGCTTTGTAAAAACATTGGAATAAGTGTTTGCGCTTCAAACAATTAGCAATACATTAAACCTACCGCAAAGGACGAAACGATAGATAGAGTTTTATGTACACGACAAAGTAAATGGTGGCTCAAGGTGCTTTTGTGGCGCCATTTAAATGCAGGCGTGCCTCGAAATTTGTGATGTTGACCCACGCTTACAATTACGGATGTACTCGAAGACTTGTCAGTCAGTGTGTTAATACAAAATGTTTTTTTTTATCTTCAAAATACATGACAGCATATAGCTAGGCCGTTTCACTTTTATTTATTTAAGTGAAGTGGATACATATGTAATTTGTAAATTAGATTATTGTTATAGTTGAGTTTTGAATTTTGAATGTAGTAGGTTGGTCTTTAAAAATATAGTCCATTCTTATGTCGCTAGAAAAAGGGAAAGTTCTAAGAAATGTGAATGTTGTATACCACTAGTAATTAATCTTATCTGTGGTGTAAGAATGGCAGATTCTTCAACAAGACATGGCTGGACTATTACGAAAAACACTTTGTTTTGGTTTTTTCCGTGACTCAATGTATTAAAACAGTTGAATGAATTAACTGAACCAAGCTTCTTTTAGGAGGCCACCCTAAAAGAATGCGTGTTGGCTGCATTTGAAAACTCACAGAATTAAATTCAAAAATCCAGAACAGAGCATAAACAAAAGCACGGCAATATTTCGAAGTCTTCGCCAAGTAGCATCAACTAAAGTACCGATTAACCTATCGAAATCTTGCGTGGGTGTTTCATTGTCTGCATTGCATCATGCCGATCGCGACGCCATTTAATTGCCGTGGATTTATAAAACGGAGCTAAACGCATTGTTATGTAAATATTGTATGTAAGATTGTTATCGCTTGTACCTACCAGACGGTTTTCAAACAATGAAATGAATTTGACATCAAGGTTGTGTTTCCGTAATTGAAATTTGACAACTTATTTTCCTATACATTTTGAAACATTAAAAAATATTATATGGTCTATAGGTTTATTACAATAGTCGAAACATCACATTTACTCTCGAAGACAAAAAAAAGAATGTTTTATTATTCCCCTTTATAATTTCTTCACAATACTTTTAAAAGGCGTGACATACCCCTACGTAATGAAACACAATAACGTCTCTGTGTTCACGAAAAATAACCTTTACAGAGTCTTCAGCTAGATAAGTATTTTCCTTAAAATATTGTCATATTAACAATTAAGTAACTACATAAAACCGAGGTGCTTACACAAAATTTTGAGTGTCAATTCTGACCATCGTAGTTTGTTTACTAGCTTATGGCATGTAGGTGACAATCTAACGTCTAGCAATGTGTACGCCGGCCTTAAAATGCAGTGCGGTACGCGAAGTAAACAAGAAAGACCTTGGCCCAGCCGCACAATGGGTCCCACTAAATTCGATTAAGAAACACGCGCCGCTGTTTTGTCCACATTTTTTATGATAAAACAAACTGCGCCACTTCCTAAATGCTTACGCGAATTGCCTTACATTATAAACCTTATCGCGCCATGGAAAATAAACTGTATTCGTAATCCTTTTCGGAATATCGTAACGTGATACTGTATTATTTAACATTTCGCATTATTGTTGTATTCCTAGTACTTACTAAGTATAAACATAAGATTTATTATAAATTCTTGTAGCGCACAATGCCCGGATATTACGAGACAATACGAATTATTATATTGTTTTGATCGACTAGCGTTTAGGAAACTGCGGTAGCATTTTCAAGGTCCGCGTATTTGGATTCGTGGAACGGAAGAACAAAGAAGCCGAATTCTGTTTGATAATATCGACACCCTCATTATGAATTGAGGCGAAATATTTCTTTGAAGTGTGATCTGTGTTGTGAACAAAGAGTTCGCGTTAAAAGATAAACACCCGTTCGCATGACATACACTATTCGCAGTTAACGGTCTCGCTTTTCGTATAAGAACTAATTGGAAAATAGGTCGCGACGGACGCACCCGAAACAAACGGGTAATAAAAATAATTAGGCAATTAGTGGAATAGTGTGGGGGCGTGGTGCCTTCGAGTCCAATCCGTGTTCATTGTATGTAAAAAACTCAATTGAGCGTAGCCGAATAACGCATATTTTAATCTCGCGAGACTAATGCAACGGACGAAAATTTGCATACGAAATTACAGTACAACTTTGAGAAAGTGTATTTAGTGATGTCATTTTGTTTTCTGTCTTCCTTTCATTGTCATTGTTGACAAGACGTGACCCCCTTTTAGCATTTATCTCGTAAAACGAACCGATTCTATTACATTAATAGAACTAAATTAGTCGTGTTATTGTACAAAAATAATGTAAAAGTTTCGAAGAAATCGCCTAAAATAACAGAGTGGAGATAATATGTCAGAACTAAATAAGCATACCATTAAATTTTAAAAGCTGGATGATATTCGGAGATGTGGAACTCACGGAACCCATAAAACTAATTTAGATCTTCACGAGTCGTTCCTATTTATAAACGTAGATACCGAAGAAAAAAACAGCCAGTGTACACTGCAAGGAAGACAAATGTTTCCAATACTAACACAGACAAGACTCACAGATGAAGAAAAAAGAATATAACAACAGAAATGTCATAATGTTTTTAATTTTAAATGCCAGACTCCGACTTTTGTAATAAATACGGGCAATGCAATTTGTTTAAAATGGCGCAGTTTAAAAA